AGGAAGTAAAATTTGGTCAAAATCAGAAATTTTCGACTCATAATTTTTTGTCCTATTATCAGTAATTATAATAGCCACCAGTTCAGTAATTCGTCTAACGTCTACTGCTTTCCATCGCTCCATTATCATATTCATCCACATTGGAATAAAATTTGTGTAAAATGAAAAATTGTTGACATTATATTTTTACATTTTGAAAAAAATATATATGTACATACATATATAATTTTACTACCATTGGAGAAAACGAACATGAATTAAATAAAAGTATGCATCAGCAAAAATTGGGAGATATCCAAACTTGACCTTTCATGAATTCGTTATTTTTTACCAAACCTAAATTGACGCAATTCTGATACAGCAAAACAGCGTTTGCCGGGTCTGCTAGTAATAAATATATGAATTTGTTTTTAATAAACTTCAATTTTAGTTAAAAAAGTACATACGTTGTGTATAGTCTATGAGGAGTATTATATCAGGATTCAGTTATAGTCCATTAAAGAGCTTAAAATAAAATTCGGATGTAGTTGTGGACTATAAACCAAAACTACTATAGTAGGTTTAGGATAATTTGGGTGAATTCCGACAATTTAAGAATTTAAATTGTAAGGTAACGTATTACGCAGTTTATTTGAAAAGTGTACAACAACCTCTATATAGCATTTTCTTTATCCTTTAGCTTGTTTATTTTGTTATTGCAGAGCGCAACTCACTAACACTACACTAGTGACGTTACTGTCAAGCTCCCTTTATTCCACACTCTCCCATGTATATTTGTTCGTATTTTTCTCTCAGTGTTAGTATGTGTATGCATGTTGCACTAGTAAATTCTTAATAATCGAGGTGTTTCTAGATTGTCGAAAATCTTATGTGACGAGAGGAGACGAAGTATAAATCGGTGACGAGATCGCGAAACCGAAACCCTTAGTCAGGCGATCATCCCGAATCAGCTCTGGGATGACACGCCCTTGTCAGACGAGGAAGACATCATGGAAACTACAGTGAATAGCACTACGGTGAAAAACACGGTTGCGACCATGGTGTCTCTCCGAAGCAGCATGGGGAGTCCTCCCAGTTGTTGACTAGGGAATTAAACCCTGGCGAGGTTGAAGATCTGCACTCAATCTCAATATCATTTCTCATCAGTTCATTCATCAGTACCAGTAACTGTTAGGCTAGTCGATGTCAAGGAAATCGCTGCCAAGAAGGTGTATCGGAGTGACTCCATCACGGGAAAGGAGTTCATTTTAATCAAGAGGAACCGGAAGTTCTCCAGGAACTATCCGATCCATATTGAGAGGGACTTCTTGATTGAAAGGATCCCCCGATCCAGTACTAAGACCATAACGGTAGTCCCTTCAAAGAAGGAGAAACCTGTGGGGGTTCTAGTACACCTAGGAAGCTGATGCCTGAGACTTATAAGCCCTCAGCATCCCTCAAGGGTAAACTGAGACGTCCCATACACCAGCATCCACAAAGACGGAAGGTAGGGGACTGTCGATGTCGGCCCGAAGGAGAGCCCGTAAAAAGGCCTCCAAGAAGACCGATTAGACACAACCCACCCTAAGTCGAATTGCCAAAGCCGATACCGAAGGTTGTGGCAATTGGGCAGTTGCTAGTGGATGCGCCGAAGGTAGTGAGCGCGAAGCAGGTGCATGCGTCGGCTGGGCATATATCTTCGGCGGTTGCAACCCCTGGTGCCAAATCTCGGCCACAGCCCACGGCTGTCAAGAGAATGAGGTCCTCGCAGTCGTCGGCTACACAAAGCTCTGCTTCGTTTGCGTAGGTCGTAGCTTCGAAGGAGAAACCTGTGGTGGAAGCCAAACACGCTGTCTCGAAGCAGGTAGCCCATAAACCTACAACGGCGCCCAGCGACTCTGCTGCTCCACAAGAGGTTCCGGATGATCTGCGAGTAGCAAATATGGACCGAGCTGACCCTGACGGGATCACCACCGAAGATAAATGGATGCTGGTCGATCTGAAGGACATCTTCCTATCTGACGAGGTTGATCGACAGGAGCCTACGTTTCGGCCAGACCTCCTTATACAAAGGGGTCAAGGTTGTTAATTGTCGCACTAAGGAGATTGCGGACTTCCTTAAGAAGACAATTAACAACCGTGACCCTCTTTGGGAAGGTGGCAGACTGGCAGCTGTCCCGGTCCAAGAGATACCAAGCAGTATGGTAAACTCTGTGTGGATCCCACCACTATTTAAGGGACTGGAGAACACACTAACGTTAGTGGAAAAGCAGAACGACGACCTTCAGATGAGGAGGTGGAGAATCCTCGCCTCATTTGAAAGGAATGGCGGTGTAGTCGCGAAGTTCGCTACTGATTCTGCTGAAGAGCAATATTTGAGGAAGAATAAGGGAGTTGTGGTATGGGATGGGGTAACGTTGTTTCCGCCTTATCCTGTTAGGTATAATCTTAGAATTTTTAATAGGGGCAACACATTAACGTTTGTAAATAGGGTGAGAGGTGAAGTTATTGACATAACCCTCACAAATATGGACGACTCTGGGGTTATGAGCTGGGAGGTGTCTGAGCAATGCTCCTTTTCGGATCATAGACTGATATATTTCCAGATACCTACCTCCAGAGGAAAACAGAAGCCTTATAGGAATCCTCGGAAGACGAACTGGGACAAAATCAAAGCTAAAACAGCAGCCTCAACCCTGGATCATAAAGATCTAAAACCGGTTGAGCTACTCTCCTGAAAAGCTATGAGGCTGGGAAAAAATCTCAGCCGGTACAGTTTGGGACGTCTATAAAAGCGAAATCAAGAAGGCTACACGTTAGTCTTGGGTCTGCTGTAGTGAGCCAATCGAAGGAGTCAACGAAGCGGCCAGATTTCGCAGAGTCTATCCAAAGATCCAAAATCTTTAGGTAGCATTAAACGAAGTGATGGAACGTGGACAAACTCTGGCAGTGAGACTCTTGATCCTCTATCGTCAACCCACTTTCCTGGTTGTAAGGACTATAGGGAGCGTGCGCATCAACCTATAGTTCGAACGAGATAGAAAATACTATAAGTTACACAAAACTGGTATGGGCGATAAATAGTTTTCAACCTTATAAGTCTCCTGGTCCAGATGGTATAATACCGGCCATGCTGCAACACGCAGATGAACGAGTATAAACATCACTGCAGGACATTTTTAGGGCTTGTCTACTTCTGTCGTATATACCTAGTCTATGGAAAGAGGTAACAGTGACCTTCATCACGAAAGCAGGGAAGCCGAGTCCTCTCTTTAGAAAGGTTACTAGATTCAGAAATTAGGAACACTATTGACCAAAGTAAACATAGCAACTCCCAGCATACATGCATCAGAGGCAAGTCAGTGGATACAGCCTTAAATGAGGTAGTTGGATGCATCGAGAAGAATATGGAATCCTCTGGCTACACTTTGGCAGCATTCCTCGACATTGAGGAATCTTTGAACAATGCTCTCATAAGCACAGGTATCCCCTCACTCCTAACGGAATCGATTTATAGAATACTGGAAAGCAGAATTATGAAATCATCCTTAGGAGAGAGTTCCGTGAGGAAATCTGTCAACAAAGGCACACCACAGGGAGGAGTACTATCTCCCCTTCTGTGGCTTCTGGTGATAAACGAGATACTGCTGAAGTTCAATCGTCTTAGGATAAAGGTTGTAGCCTATGCCGATGATGTAGTCCTGATGGTTGGGGGTAAGTTTCTAATGACAATTGCAGACATCCTGGAGGTTGCCCTTTCAACCAACTGGGCATACGCCAAAGGTCTTGGTGTAAACCCCACTAACAGGCTGTTTTTGAGAAAACGAACTAAACGAACGAATTCGAGTGACTTACGACCAAACCTTTGTTTATGTAAACAAATATATTTTGATTCAAAACAAAAATAAATGACATATTTTTCAAAACCAAGGATTTTGGTCGTGAGTCACTCGAATTCGTTCGTGTAGAATTTTACAAAAACAGGCTGTAAGACAGAATTGGTGCTCTTCACTAGGAAACTATAGTTAGACCGTCACTCCTTCCGTATTCTTCCAGACTAGAGATAGGCAGTGGATAAATACCCAATGGGTATACCCATTTGTGGGTATTTACTATATTGAAGCGCTAATACAACATCTTACTCCCTATTTCCGGGTTTCTGTTAACAAATCTATTTAAAATGGATAGCTTTATATTTTAAACACGTGCGTAAAAACTGACGAACGACTTAACAAAAGCTGCCAAAATTTGGCTCACACGCTTTTAATATCTAATAAATACTGGTATGGAAAAATGTTTGATACCAGTATTTATTTAAAATAAAATTTTATAAAACTATCCATTTTGTATCGATTTGATAACAGCAACCCGGAAATAGGGTGTTAGATGTTGTATTAGCGTTTCAATATAGTAAATACCCAAATAAATATTTATCCACTAATTCCATCTCAATTCCTGACAAAACAAGATCGTTTTAAACTCAGACCAAGGATGGTACGTGTGACGAATTTTAAGGTTTTCGAATGTCAGAAAGTTGCAAACGTCGAAAACGTCATATACCTTTATAAAATGTAATAACTAACTGGTCTTAACAAATAATACTAAACTTTTTTGAGAATAAAATTTTGAAATTTGATATGGGTTTTATTGAAGCATGTGTAATTTCCATATTCACCAATGGAAATAACACTTGTTGGCAATGTTTTTTCATGGGTTTCCGACGTTTTTGATGTATTTGTTATGCGTCGGAAAAGTATGCCATATACGTCATTGTTTCTGACGGACCATAGACTATAGAAATTTTGGACAGAAAACATATTATGTGCTAAGGATTCACTTCCCCCACCAGCAGATTCCATAGTTGAAAAGAAGCTTAGTGGAGTTAATCGGCTCATATATTAGTCTATAGTTCGTGTCTGCATTGCTATTACCAAGATGATTACTATTAATTCTATTAATACTATTTATATTAATTCTATTTATATGACCACTTGCATGTACCATACTCATATAATACTTACTTGAGTAACGACTGTGTTTGTTGCAATATCGTCTTTCAACACCAACTTATATTCTTGTAGGTGGAATAGTGGGGCGTTGTCATTAACATCATCTACCCTAAGTCTTACAAAAGCATAACCAAATTTGCCCCCTCCATCAGTTGCTTTTACCAATATTTCGTATATTTCCCTTTGTTCTCTATCAAGGGGTATTTTGGAGTATATGGAGCCTGTGTTCTTGTCAATTTTAAATATGGATGCCATATCATCAACAGGTATTTCATAAGATACCGATCCGTATTTTCCAAAATCTTTATCAATGGCTTTAACCTGAAAATAAAACAAAACGATACAAAATGTGTTTTATTTTCCAAAAAGAGAGAATGATAAAGATTTAAAATAAAATAAAATTAACTTACTGTTATAATAAATGTATCTGCGTTTTCATTTTCTTTTATATGCGCCTCGTACATCGAAGATTCAAAGACTGGACTGTGCATATTCTCTGGAAGCAAGATAATCTTTACTCTTGCATAACTTATATGAAGACCATCGGTGACAGAAATATTAAGAATGGTTTGCTTGTGGTATTCCAACCTCTGATTGTTTTGTAAAACTATTATACCTGTCGATTTTTCTATAGCATAAATTTGATGGTCATTACCGTCCACAATTTTGTATATCAATTTGCCACTGTCACATTCATCGGCATCGTAAGCACTTGCTCTTGTCACAAATTGTCCCCTAGTCGCATTAACAGACAATTTACTTGAAAATGATGGTTCTTCAAACTTTGGAGTGTTGTCATTAATATCTCCCACTAAAAATTATACAAAAAAGAAAATATGAATAGCTAGCTGAGCCCATTGTGAATCGCAGCTGGAATTAAAATTATCAACATTGTAGGGCTTATAACCTATAAATGTCAACATAAAAAGGGTTTTCTTGAGTTAAAAAGTAAGTTTGTTTAAATGGATATAAGCACACGAGCAACTGTATTCGTTTTACATGTGGATATTGTTGCTGAATTAAAAGTAAGTGAAAGGATTCTCATTCGCCACTCATGTTCATATAGAACCAAACTGTAAATTAAAATCAAAATATAATTTATAGTTGTAATAGATTATCCAGTTAAAATATGGATAAGTTTGTCCCGACCGAACTTTGTATACCCTCCAGCATGTGCTGTAATGATTATGTTTTGCTGTAATGTTTTATCATTTTATGGGAACTAACTTATTGGCGGTATGAAATAGGACCCCAAACAGAAAATTAAATAAGTGTCCAATTTTTTATACACAAAACAACTATAATTGGGGACTTGTTTGATTTTTTGGGGAATTATCATTATTGTTAGCAACTAGTTGAAGAAAGTAGAGTTCTAAGCGCCATGGAATTTGAAATCATTGCCGGTCAAAGGAAAACATCCGAACAAAAAATGATTTATATAAAAATCTGAATTGAAGGTGTTTTTTGGCAAAAAAAAAGTATATTGACCATAATCATCCGAATGAAGAACAATTTAAAATGGAATTAAATCTTTAAATCAAATTAGGAGTGATTGTGATGTAATTTGTAGTGTGTTGGGAGGAAATAGAAATGTTATTAGAAACAAAAACATTGGGTTGTTGGTAAGTAGACCTTTTTTTAATATATTAATTGTATAAAAGTATTAAGTGTTCAAATGAAAATTGTTTAGTTCAGAAAATAGGAAGGTATTTTGGGATCAAACAAAAAATTCGCGCGAATATACTTTTATACATTTAATAAATCTGTAATAATATTAAGTACTTGAAAGAAAATTTAGTAATTATGAACACATGATAGTTATTTTAGACTCAAATAAAAAATTCGCGCGAATTTGTTGGTTTTATAGATTTATTAAACATATAAAATATTAAGTGTTCGAATGAAAATTCTTTAGTTGTGTAAATAGGAAAATATTTTGGAATATCAATTTTCATTCAAATACTTAATTTCTCCATGTATAACAGTACATATACATAAATATATATGTATCTTTTGGTTTCACTTTTGTCAGGCTGTCAGGAAGAACTTAATGAAAAACAAGACTTTGTTGGACTTAATAAGGTCAATCAACTTTTGTGTCTGCAGTAATAAAATTCGAACTACCTCTGCAATAGGGGCAAACATTTAGAAAAACAGTTCGCTTTCTTCTTAAAGATAAAATAAAAAATATATCATATAAAACAACAATTTATTTTATTTCATATTGCTTTTTAGGGAATTAATTCATAATGAAATAAAGCCCCAAACTTGGGGACTTATTTCATTTTCTGTTCGAGGACTTTTTTCACACCGCCAACTTATTATGTAGTAGCAGGTAGTTCGTGCTTAAAAAAAATAAAGTTCCAAACTACAGAAACTCAGGTTGGAAAACTGGGTTAGGAAGTTCAACATACTAAATATAAAAAATGACATTTGTATGGGACGGGACACATATGAAATTTGTCCAGCAGACAAATCGAGTAAATAGAATATACTTAATAAAGATTAATTTCAAATTTAATACATACGTAACCAATTTCCCTGGTTAGTTTTCACTTTTGACAAAGATAAACAAAAAATATTATTTATCTTTTTAGTTTTTCGCAACAACAGTTTTCTGAATAATTAGCTTCGAATATTCAACCTAATTGCTCTTGTGTGAATTTTTCTTACTGTAGTCGCCGGCTCAATTTGAGCTCAAATATTTATATATTCTGAGATTTTAGCTCCAGTTTTCTGAATAATTGTTTCTTCTTCAATCGTAATTTTATATTATTTATTAAAATTGTGCAGAAAATATTCCACTTATCTAGGGATGGTGATGACTTCTCTGGTGCTTAATGAGTGACTATAACCTCATAATATCTGATATCACATTACTTTAATACTAAATAGCTAAAGTTCAACTTTAAATTATAAAAGTGCGATTTTGGAAATCTGTTATCGCATTCATTCTATATAAATTAATTTATATTTTAAACACTACTTTGTAAAACGTACCTTTAATCCACACATTTGCTCTTGAGCTAAGAGAGGGAATTCCATGGTCGGTTACTTTGATTATGAGTAAATATGACTTGCATTCTTCGAAATTCAATTGATGTTTTAGGTAAATGGATCCATCTGCTATATTAATATAAAATAAGTCTGAATCTCGATTACCGTTTGTCGATTCTATGTAATAGGAAAGAACACTATTTGCATTTGAGTCGCAATCAGTAGCATTTATCTTTACAATTTGAGACCCCAGTGGTATATTTTCTGCTAATGTTATGTTGTAGTTATCTGTTTCAATGTGTGGGTAGCAGTCATTTACATCGTCAATTCCAATAGATAGAGTCACTTCTGCGAACACTCCTGAGACAACATCAGTAGCCCTCACAATTAATTCGTGAGACTTTTGTGCTTCAAAATCCAAACTGTTTACAACATAAAGGAGGCCTGAAAATAATAACAAGGAAATAAAAAAATGCGTTATTTCGGAACAAACATAAAAAGATTGTAATTGGGGATGAATAAATGTTTCCGAATTTGTATTGAACCTGTTCTTTTTTCAAATGCGAAAGTTCGGATTTATCTAAATTTTCGACTTTCCTTGCAAGGTTTTTTATGATCTGTGCCTAAAATGATTCCAGTAGTAGTTTTATTATGTAATATTATTCTTAAAATGAAAACTGCATTTTCCTTAAGTTGTTGTAGCAGTTTATATGAATATATATTCCTGTTTAAATTCAATCTGGTTCTGTCTCCCAATTAAAAAATGCAGCTCCTTCCACTGACTGCAAGCACAGATCTTTAGGAATAAGATGAGTGATTTGGCTGGGCAATTGAATAAGTGCAGTGTGGACCCGTACCACATGCTGGGCAGACATTCTGCACCTGGTCATCAATCCGTGCCCAATACGGGTTGAGACGACTGCACCATCCTGAACGTAATTGGGCCAAAACTACTCTGGTTTGTCTGGGCAGCTGACATTCTTCAGCTGGTTTGGGTGGGGGTGAGCTCCGAGGCATTCAATATGTATCCGGTCAGCGCTACGGCTTCTGCATCAGTATGAATGCCATTCAGACCTGCTCGATAGGCATCTTGATCTAGAGTCTCTCTCTCTAGATCATGCAGATCCTTCCTGACACCCCTGGGTGGAGCGTGGACAATCATCCCACCATATCATGGTTGGGATGATTGTCCTTGAAGCACCCGAACAGGAACTGCAACGAAAGGATATTGCTATGCTGACGTAAGGGAAGGATATTTACTTATATCCGTTGGTACTGTACTTGGAATTTCAATTTATTTATCTTTGCTTTAAATTTCTTCGCAGTTACGGTTCATAGCTTTAGTTGTAGCTAAAAAGTAAAATTCTGGTGTATTTTATAATTGGCAATGACCAATGACAACCGAAACCCAGTATGCGGTCGCGTCAAAAGAATATATGCATTGTTCATCAGTTATAAATCGATTGTTATCTAACATCAGAGGTTCTAATAAATCATCCCTGAATACTTCTTCGAGCAATTCAGTTACCAACAAATATTAGTTTTGTTTTCCTTTTCGACAAGTTTTGTCTAAATTCGTAGAGAACATTTCGTTTGCATTCGATAATTGTTATTGTAAAATTAGTTGAAGAACTTCTTCTTTATACCATTCCTATTGATCGTTTTCTTTTGCATATCATCTGCTGCAAAAAATACACAAAAGTATATTCATACATATTCCTGTGACATACGTACGTTTACCGCCTATTCGTGCCTACCTATTTCTTGATTTACATACGTACGTATTGTTACATGTTCCAGCATCGTCGCTTTGTTGTTCTGGCTAGTTGGTCAGCCAGTCACTTGCATGCCTAGATATTCACATGCATGTAAGCATACATATTACATTTTCGCATATTCCCTTTTCTGTTGTGTCCGTTTTATTGCACGGTCTCCGGCCAGTGTATTATTACACAGTCCCCGGCTTGTATATTAGGACAGTGACACACATTATTATATTTTATGGTAAATATAATATTTGTGTCAGGGAATATTATTTAAATAATTTTGGACATTTTAAAATCCAGTGCACCCTACAATCGGTCAATTGGACTATTGTATTGTGTAGGGTGCATATTTGGCATATTGTTGCTTATATTTTGTTTGTGGATTTTAAATATTTATTTTTGTTTTATTGTGCATATAGTTGCATATTATTTGTTTTTTTGAATTTTAATATTTGTTGTGAATATTTTTATGCCCTACAATCGGTCGTTTGGACTTTTGTATTGTGTAGAGTGTATATTTGGCACATAGTTGCATATCGATTTTGTGTAAATATTAATAATTTTTTGTATTTTATAGCAATTTTATTATAAAAACGATACATTCGGTAGCTTCTTTATTTGATTTAATAATTTATACTCTACAATTGGTAGTTAGTTTGTTGATTGTCCGCTATAATTTATAGTTTATTTTTGTTTTTGTGGATTTTCTCCAAAGATATACTTGATTTTTGAATATTTTCACCATTATACGGGTTTTCTCATATCCCATATTTCATTTTTGAATTATTTATCGTGATCATTTATTGATAGCTAGTGGGGTTAGATTAAAACCTTTGTTATCGAATTCGTTTAAAAATCAAATTGTTTTCTTTATCGTTCGTATAAATAGTAATATCCTCTTTGCTTGGTTGTAGCTATCGTGCAAATTGATTCGATTTTTATATATCACTTGGATAATCTTATTTTGGTTAAATTTATAAAATGGCTTCCACTCCCTTAAATTTATTCATTCGTGCTTCCAACTCTATGGGGAGTTTCGGTGCATTGAAGGAAGACGAATTAGATATTTATGATCTTGAGGTTAGGAGTGAGGAAATTAAAAAATTTTGGAAATCAGTCAGGAAACTTTTAATAATTGTCTCTCCCACGTAGAAAATCCTGAAGATCTCGATTCATTGTATAGCCAGTATGCGGTCTCGTCAAAAGAATATATGCATTGTTCATCAGTTATAAATCGATTGTTATCTAACATCAGAGGTTCTAATAAATCATTCCTGAATTCTTCTTCGAACAATTCAGTAGTGTCGGTAACAGAGCATACCGACAATATTCTTCCGGGAACTCTCTCAGTTGATGCCACCGTTAAAAACGTGAGCTCGTCGTCCCACACTTCTTGTGATGTGGGAACGCAGGCATCTAGCTCCACAATTTTGAATATTGGGAATTCTAGGCCAAAGCTTTATCGTAGATCCTCCAAACACAGATAACCTTCATAATCTTGCGATTCCTCCCTGCAATATCGACATTTTCAGTGGAGATATTCTTAATTGGCCCACATTCAGAGATTTGTTTAGTGCGGTATATATTAATAACTCCCGATTGACAGACATTGAGCGTCTATGTCATCTGGTGAGTAAAACTAGTGGTGAGGCTCGAAATTTCCTTTGACTCATCGGAGTTTTGAACCTGCGTGGAATGCCTTGAATTCCACTTATGATAATCCACGTCTTATTGTTCATAGCCATTTGAAAATGTTGTTTGGCCTTCCTATGCTGGATCAAGAATGTAGTTCAGGACTTAAGTCACTTCAACGCGGAATAAATAGTTGTCTTTCCGCAATGGCAATTTATAACATACCAACGGATAATTGGGATCCGATAGTGGTATTTCTATGTTTGCAAAAATTGCCCAAATTAACACATGCATTATGGGAGCAAAATGTAAAATCAAAATCGTCTCTTTCATCTTGGAAAGAGTTAGATGCATTCTTGACAGAGAGAATTAAAACTCTTCTGTGTTTGCATGAGATGAGAAATTTCGGCACTGTGTCAAAATCGAATAATAAAATCAATTCCATTTCGTCTAAATGTGCGACTTCTACACCTCGTTCGTCGTATAATTCATGTTGCGTACTTTGTTCAGAGCAACACCGAGTACATCTTTGCTCTAGGTTTGTAAATAGTACACCTGCCGATAGATTTAAATTGGTCAAAAAGCTTCGTTTCTGTGTAAATTGTCTTCGTAGGGGACACGAAGTGAAAAATTGTAATAGTCGTTTCTGTCGAAAGTGCAATCAGAGACATCATACTCTATTGCACAGGGATAGCTCTATTGTGAGCGCTCCGAGTCAGATGGTGACTCGCACAAACTCGAATTGATCGTCTTCCGCTCCAGCTTTTCGACCTCGATCTTCCACTGTGATTAATCCACCCGCATCTGTCGGCACTGCTATTCGACAGACATTTCACGCTGCACAGAACAAAGCAGTTCTATTGGGAACAGCCATAGTCAATATTGTTAACCATGGTGCTTGTTTTGCTGCTAGGGCGCTTATAGATCCAGCTTCTGAGTCGTCTTTCATTTCCGAGCGACTTCAGAAGAAATTGAAGCTATCGGTCAAATCCACAATTTCGACAATTCGCGGAGTAAATTATACTGTCGCTAGTACATGTCGAAAAATGTGCTCGTTGAAACTTAGCAGTCGTTCTAATAGGTCTTACAGTTTGAAAACGTCGGCCTTGGTAGTAGATTCCATATCGGGAAATCTTCCATCCTCTTCGATTACATCGGACCTTAAATCGGATTTGTCAAATATAGTTTTGGCAGATCCCGACTTCCTTCAATCTAGTCCAGTAGATATTTTGATAGGAGCAGACTTGTATCCACAAATAGTAAAAAATCATAGTTTTCGACTTTCGTCTGGATCGCTGCTCGCTCAAAATACAAAATTCGGCTGGATAATTACTGGTTCTATAACATAAATTGTTCTCGTATATTGTACGAAACCGTTGTAAGGCGGCACTCAAGAAATGTCACACAATTTGGCTCACAAATCGCGGGGTCCCTAATGGCCCTTTCGTTTCGCGGGGTCCCTAATGGCTCTTTCGTTTCGCGGGGTCCCTAATGGCCCTTTCGTACCACAGGTCCTTTCTGACCTAATACATCCGCGGGGTCCCTAATGGTCCTTTCGTACAATAGATCCTTCATGATCTGTGTAATCGGGGGGTCCCTAATGGCTCGATCGTTAGCATGTAAGCATGTTTTTTGAAAAAAATTAAAAAAAAAAAATTATTAAAAAATATTTGGCACTATGCCGTTATTTATAATTTATCATTTATCATATAATTGTTAAAACATATAGATGTTTTAAGGGAGGCGGCAAATGTTTAAGCAAGAATGGCTGTTTAAAATAGTTAAATAGTTTGCCTTTAATTTGAAAAGTCGTAGCCGTTGAAATCTGTCTACTCCTAATTATTACATCCTTGTAATAGTATGAGGCTGACAGATTTCAACGGGCTTTTGTTTATATTTTACTTCTGCGCCACCTTTAGGCATCTTTGTGTTTTTATTATTTCTTATTACTTGATTACTTTCGTCGCTACCGACTGCCCACACATATTATTGTGATCACCAGCGCTTAAATTGTAAGACATCGTATATATTGTTGTGCCATACAGG